TGCTGCCCAGTAGTCGTACAACAGGTTAGGTAGAGCCAAACCCCCCACTTCCCTTTGTTTCTGAAGGAAACGCCTACTGATTCTGGGGTGTTTATTGCTCCACATGAACGAAGACAGCTGTTTATCAATAAGTCTGAAGCATGATTTTGGGAGAAACATCGGAATACTCTGAAAGAGATGCATAAATCTTGGCAAGATGTTCATTTTAATGCAACTTTGCCAGCTAGGGATAAGTTTAGGATGCTCCACTTCTGGAGGTCGTGCTGAAGATTACTGAGCAGAGGAGTGACATTTTTTTCAAACAGATCCGAAAAAGAACGCGTCACATTGATTCCCAAATATTTGAATCCTGTTCTAGAGAGAGGGAAGGGCAAGTCAGTTTCTGTAATTTAGAGTGCAGGGTTATTAATTGGAAAACATTCACTCTTAAGGAAGTTCAACTTATATCCTGAAAATTTACCAAAACGGTTCAACAAGCTCACAATGTTGGGCATGGATGATACCGGGTCCGAGATGTAGAGTAATAAGTCATCTGCGTGTAAGGACAGCCGATGTTCCAGATGTTTTCTATAAATACCCTTAAAGCCCTGTGAAGTCTTAAGCATAATTGAAAGTGGCTCAACAGCTAAAACGAAGAGGAGCGGGCTGAGAGGACAGCCCTGCTGGTACCCCTGGACAAAGAGAAGGGCCCCATCAGCACCTCTAACAGCTTCTGTGTTGGATTTAATCTGGGAGAGGAGGAGGAGTTTAACTGACCAACATAAAAACAATCAGTCATAATTACAGTTTATTAATTTGTATTTGTGAACAAACAGTTCCAACTCAAAGATTAAACTTGCATCATCAGATTGTTGCTACGGTAACGAAACAATCTAACTATGAATATTGTTCTTTGAACTTTTAGTAAACTTGCCAGGTCCTTAAAATCTTATATTTAAATGTTAAACAATTTAAAATCCTTTAATCTACTTATGCTGAAACCAGTAAATCAAATTCAGCAGAATTGATCATCTCAATAAATAAATGTTGCATTCATGTATTTGTGTTAAAATAGTAGCATTTATGGCCCCTGAAGCCCTGGGGGCCCGATGAGCCGCTGAGTTGATTTGGATTAAACAGAAATGCAAATAATTGAAATTAATTTTAATTGTATTTTTTGGTTTGTTGTTTTTAAGACTAGTTGTGGGTTTAAGGTATCGTTTCACTGGAGATGTTCCAGTAACACATATTTACCCAGTAATATTTTTACATTTCCTGTCTATTTAACATCTTTTAATACAAAAACACGGTGGACCGACCGCC